GCCATGGAAGCAGTTGTGATCTAACACATCAGTACGAAGCACATGCCTAGGCGTAATATATGATCCAATGATATCATTATTGTACTACTCGTTTTACTATTCTATAGACTTTTCGTCATCGCTCCGGCACCTTTTTAAATCATCTCTTTGTGAGTCTTACTATCACCTCTCCCATATATCATGAACGCCTCATTCGTTTGAAATTTATCTCCTTTGAAAAAGTATATTTTTATTGATTTCAGAAAGGAAGGGAGCGGGAGAGAGAGATAGAAACATCAATGATAAGAGAGAATCATTGATCGGGCGCCTCCTGCAAGCCCCACACTGAGGATGGAATCCACAACCCAGGCATGTGCTCTGACCAGGAATAGAACCATGACTTCCTGGTTTAGAGGTCCACACTCAACCACTGAGCAACACCGGCCAGAAATCTGCTGTCATTTTCAGACCTGATGAAGCCGTGTGTATGGGAGGCATGTGGTGGGAAGGGATATTCGGAGGCCACATGTGTGTCCCCCAAGCCTACAAGGTGAATCAGAAGCTGTAGTGCATCCTTGGTTGAATGGCAGTTGAGCGCAGATACAAGTATTCGGGGATGGTGGGTCTCATTTTGGAACGTAGAGTCAGCCCAATCAGGAGTGAAGGTGGAAATTTAATGAGAGGGTTGGTCACTAAGCACTAAGGCACTTAGGGCACCTCTGACCTGGTGGGAGTCCTGCTTCCATAAAACTCCACGGACACCAGTGGGGCAACCTCCAAAGTATAAGGGAGCTGAAGGGAACCACGCGTGTTTCACTTGCATTTCTTTTTATTGAAACAACAGTCACATAACATACAATTGGGCCTTTCGAAATATGAAATTCAATAAAATGCAGTAAATACACAATGTCTCAATGACAACATCTATCTTGTTTCAAGAAAGTTTTAAACTCCCCCCCTCCAAAAAAAAAACAAACTAACAAACAAACAAAAAAATAACAACAACAAACAGTCCATCTCCCAGCTGCCCTCCTGGTCAACCCCAGACAAACCAATCTGATTTCTGTTTCTATGGGTTTCCTTCTCCTGGACATTTTGAATAAAAGGAATCACACAAAACCTGATTCCATTTTGTGTCCCGATTCTGTCCCTGAGCTGCATTATTATGATGTTTTCCCACTATGGACCAGGTGCTTGTCCTTTGTTTTTTATGATTTAAACTAATCCCAGGGTTGTGAAGACACCTCATTTTGTTGGGATGGATGTGACCCAGCATGAAGGAGTGTATAGATGTGAATCCAAACAAGCCATGTGGGACCGACCCTCACTTCACAGGGTGAGAACAGAAGAGCAGTGAAGGAGAGTCAGCAAGGACAGGGAGGGAGGCAGAGCACCCAGGTGGATGGAGGGGGCGTCCTATACAGGGACATGGCCCACGTTCTCCTATGCCTAAACCTCACCTACCACCTCTACTTCCCTGGATATTCTCAACACACTGATACCCCAACTATGGTCCCCACTCTCCTTCGGCACCTCCTGGGATCTTCAGATGGGCTCCAAGGCTCCCCTACTCTGAATGGTGCATTGTTCCCTCTGTGTTCACATGCTGGCTGCATCGAGGGTCCTTATGGGGTTGTTTCGAGCCTCAAATAGCAGCACCGCGAGCACCACCAGGACAAAGCCAGCCACGCCCATCCGGATGAGATTCTCCACTGTGTAGTCTTGGGGATGGAAAAATATGAAATGTGGGTCAAGAAGTCTCAGAGGTCAGGGCAGACCCTAATCTCCAGGATTTTGATGTTCAACCTGGGCTCCCACCTCCCCTTGACATCAGTGTCCCTCTGATGTCTGAACTCTGCACCTGCTCTGACTCACCTTGATCAGAGTTAGCTGTGCCCAAGAACTGAGGATGAGTAAGAAATGGTCTCAATTCAGAAATAACTAAGAGCTGTGTGCTCTGTGTTCAGTGTGTGGATCAAGACCCCCTGAGCTTATTCCTCTACAGCTGAGAGATCCCACCTTCTCAACAGCTGGGGACCCAGGGTCCATGGAGGAGCGGTTGGTGTCAGGGGCTTGTGAATCTCAGGAGCATGAAGGGGTGAAAGTCTGGGCTGGGTTTCCTTCACCCCACCCCATCCAGGCCCCTCCTCTCATGGGTCTGCTATGTTCATCTTCACCAGAAGTTGTTTGTCTATTGATTATTTTGTTAACTCATTTATTTTACAATAACAAATACCTACAGTGTTAGATATATTTTGCAAACGAAAAATATGGGTATGTAAATGCTAATCATGGAATTTTGTTTTTTAACTCAAAAGACAACTAAGTTCAAAACCAAGGAAGTCCACAGTTCTGGTTCAAATTTAAGACACAGAGAAAATCCACCTAATTTCAATATTTAGTGGGCACCAAAAGTAGGAATTTAGGTCAATCTCTTACCCCATTTTTATATAAATCACATGATTTAAACGGAAGTTATAGATTGTTCCTCATTACAGTGATCCATGCAATAACTCGAAATATCAGCTCCACAATTTAGAACATGCACATGGATGATCAGCGTCACTCAGTTGGGTTAATATCCAAATGGGTGACACCAAGAAGCATTTGTAATGTGTGTTATGTGGTTAAAGGTCAGAGAAAGGATAATTATGGGGGGATGTGTATCTGTCAGGAAAAGAGAGCATTCCTAGCAAACTCTAGTGAAACAGAAGAACGGATTAGAACAAAACAGCCAATAGTGCTTTCAATATGAAATGTAGAATTCTACATTTAAAAATGTAGAATTCTTAATGGGTTTGCCTTAACATAAGGTTGGGTGTGAATTAAGCTGTTTTCCCGAGGGGAAACTCTGGAACATTTTAATCCCTCATTTCGATCTGGACTCCATATAATGTCAGTTAAATTGTGAGCTCATCGACTGAAGTGTTGCCTGAAGTTTCTCTAAAAAGAGCCATAATAGACCCGTGTGCACAGAAACACTGAGCAGAGGGGAATGCACAGATTCTGGGCAGGAGGCCCCAGGTCCGCTTGCGCCCTACATGGACCCTCCTTATTCTCAGGTGAGCACTGAGGGCCTGGAGGCCTCCAGGAGAGCACAGAGGGCTATGCATGGTGTTGCCCAAGGCAGGATGCTTCTCTCTATAGGGGAGTGTCCAGTGGGGGCTGGAACTGCAGGGACCCAGATTCTGAGGTGAAGATGTCAGGAGGTGAGTGGTGGTGGTGGTGGGGGTCTGTGTTCTCTGCTCAGTCTAATCACATTCCTGCTCATTTCACTCACACCTCACTCGCCCTCCCTACCCTCCATCTCTGCTGAGGTTCAGAAATGGGGTTCAGGAGTGGGAGGTCCTGTCTGTCTCTGCTCTCTCATGGGCTGGACTCTGCTCTGTGGAACCTGCTCCACCTCCTTGTTTATTACTCTCACCAACACTCTTAGGAACAGGGCCCTGAGCTGACTGAGCACAGAAAGGATGGGGTCAGGGCTCCTCACCTGAGACCACCAGCTCCAGGGGGTCACTGGGCTGTGACAGCAGGTAGGGGGAGGTGCTGTTTGAGCCATAGCACCTGTAGGTCCCCTGGTGGCCTGAGGTCAAAGGACTGAGGGTGAAGGTGGCCTGAGAGGGTGCAGACGTGTTCTGTAGAAGAAGGTACTGGGGAGGGTCCAGTCACCCCTCCCTGTGCAGGTGGAAGGTGTCAAACCAGATCTCAGACCCACACTGCAGGGTCACGTTCACTCCCCTGGGCACTGAGGGTCCCGGCTGGGCTGAGAGGGAGGGTTTCCTGTACATTCCTGGGGAGAGGAAGGTGGTGATGTGTGGGGAGCCACCTTTTCCCTCACGTCCGTGACCCTGACCTGAGGGACCTTGTCCTTCTCCAGAGACTCTGTCTGTGACCCCTCCCAGCTCCTCTGTTCCCCCTGAGGGGGTGGGGTGTCTTTTATCTCCTTTTAACACCTTTCTCACCCTCTCCCTCCAGCAGATGGAAAGGGCCCCATGAGAACCATGAGCTACAGGAGAGGGACACGTTCTCTCCTGAGGCCACCACAGGGCTTGGCTGGGCTGAGAGGGAGGGTGCATCGCCCACTCCTGAGGGAGGAGAAAGGGTCTGTGTTAAAGGGACCATCACCCTCATGCCCCAGGGGTGTTCTGTGAAAGGTGAGGTCCCCTGAGGCCACACTGTATTCCCTCTGCCTGTGACCTGGAGCCCACAGTAGGGAGGGGACCCAGTGTCTCCCTTACCTGTCACCACCAGGAGCAGGGGGATACTCCGCTCAGAGAGTATGTCCCCAGTGCTGTAAGATGCACACTGGTACAGCCCTGCATTGTGTGAAGTCATGGCGCCAATGAGGAAACCGGCTTTGTTGCTGGAGTCCTGTGGGATCCTGGTATCCAAGGGTGCAGAGTCCCTCTCTTTATACAGAAGGTAGGCACTAGCCTGCAGAGACCCCTGACACCAGAGGGTCACAGAGCTCCCATTGGTGACAATGGGGCCTGGATCAGCCCAGATGGAGGGTTTGGGGACGTCTCCTGGAAAGGAATCAGACATGAAAGGTCCTGGGGAGCCCTCATCCCCTCATGATGTCATGAATGAGGAAAGGATGCCATTTAATGAGCACCTACTGTGTGTGAGGCACATGCTGGGGTCTGTCATTCATCTCCTCTCACCTCACAGCAGTCATGCACCAGGGATTGCTGACCCCTCCACCCATTTCTGGGGCTCAGAGAGGTTAATCACGTGCCCCATGTCACCCAGCCTGGACGGGGCCGGTCTGGGACTGGGATCCAGGACTGTGGATTTCCTGTGCTGTCCTCATGTTGCCCGAGCCCCAAGACCCCAGAAGGACACCAGCTTCGTGCTCTGGGCTCCTCCTCTGCAGGGGCCTGTCCACATCTCATCTGGAGCTGAGGGTTCTTCCTCATTATCCGCCCCCAGCACAGCAGGGACAGGGAGGGGCAGGGTGAGGGGTGGACTCTGAGTCTCTTCTGGATCCATCCCCACCCACAGGGCTCTGATGTCCCCTTGGGAAGGAGCTTGGGCTGCTCCTCCCATAAACCCCCTTCTCCTGTCCTGGCACCCAGGACTCACTGTCTCTCTCTGTGTCTTTGGCCCAGTGGCCCCTGTACTCCCCAACTCACCCTCTCACAGGGGAGTCCCCTCCCAGCAAAGATGCCAATAATGTATCTGGAGCCTAAATCCACGGATGGGGCAATAATGGGACTTACCTGGGATCAGGAGCTCCAGGGGTTCACTGGGTTGTGACCACACCTGGGGTCTGTTCCTGTAGCAGCCATAGCATCTGAACCTCCACCTGTGGCTGGGGGTCACGGGGCCCACAGGGAACAGGGCCTGGGACCACCCACTGGGCTGTCTCTGTGAGTCCAGGGTCCAGGAGAGCCTGTGATCTCCTTCCTTAGTCAGAATGAACCTGTCAAATTTCTGCCCTGAGCCACACTGGAGGGTCACGTTCCCTCCTGAGGTCAGGACAGGGCTGGGCAGGGTTGTGAGTCTGGGTTTGCTGTAGGATCCTAGGAGAGGAGGAGCGAGAGTATTAATGGGCTCACACCTCCCTCATGGCCCCCAGGGTTTGGCTGTGAGAGGGAGACACCCTGAGAGCAGACCCCCTTCCTGAGGGCAGGGCCTGAGGCTGGGACCTCTGAGTGTCCTCTCACCTGTCACCACCAGCTCCAGGAAGTCACTGCTCTCTGACCAGCCCGAAGGACTGTAATAGTAACAGTGATATATCCCAGCATCACGCTCTGTCATGTGTGTGATGGAGAACTTGGCCTTGTCTCCAGGCTCCTGTGGCTTCTCTAATTTCCATGGTGCTGGGCTTCCCTCTTTATACAGATAGAACTCTTGGCCCTTCAGGGTCCCCTGACACCAGATGGTCATGGGGTTCCCTGGGGGATCACAGAACCCGGCTCAGCCCAGATAGTAGGTTTGGGGAGGGGCCCTGGAAGGGAACCAAAAGCTGGGTTAGAAGGCATTTTCCACCCCCACATTCCTAAGATGCCTCACATCCATTAACCCAGAACCACTGTTCTCCATCCCCAGATGCACATGTTATAAACCCTTGTCCCCTGTGAGAGGGACCTGGGGCTCCTGTGGAGACTCACCTGCCTGCACTGGGGTCCTGAGGCCCACACTCAGCCCTGGAAGAGAGTCCCTGTGAGAGATTTTCCCTGAACCCTGAGCAGCACCCTCCTCCCCATGAGCCTCCTGAGTCCTGGGGTCCTGACAGACCAGGGTTCCCTCCTCTCCCTCCCATCTCACCGAGGCAGAGCAGGGCCGTGAGGGTGGGGGTCATGGCGTCTTCTCCCGGAGGCCTCAGCTGAGCAGATGGAGGAGGCCACGGTGCTAGTAGGGTGGACAGACAGATGCACGGGTGGTGGTCACTTGGAGGCTGGCCCTGCCTGTCATGGGGTTGTCACACCAGTAGCCTACAGGCGAGGGCACAGCCTCTCTCTAGCAGCCTGGCTCTCATTTTCCTGGTGAAGCAGAAAATAGACCCAGAGCCTCCCTCCTGAGACAATCCTTGCAGGTGAGGTGACACAGGACACGTCCTTCCCTGTCAGAGCCTCCCCCACGGGGTCTCCTTCCTCCTCAGCCCGTCCATCAGCACCTCCCTGGGGTCCTCACCATGGACAGTGCCACGCCGGCCCTGGAGATACTTCAGGAGATGTGGGTCCCTGTGGTCTGCAGAGCTCAGATCAGCAGGGACAGGTTCACCCTCTAACTGTGCAGCTCAGGGTGATGTCACTGTGATAGTAAGCACTGAGGGTCAACACAAAACAAATATGGGAAGGAAACAGGTCCCTTCTATGGCCCCAGATTATAGCTCTCTCTCTATCACACCCCCTACATGGACTTCTCCTTTTCCTTGCAACGGCATCCACCCCAGTTTCCTGGAAATCAGATATGGCTCATTCCTGCCTCCTCAGTGATTCTTGTTCCCTAAGCAGAGCTGTCCCCTCATCCTGTCCTCCTCTCTTCAGCTTTTGGGGTCAATAAGGGGTCCAGTGCTCTGATGTTGGGGACAATGCTCATAGTTAAATATTTCACTATCATTCATTGTCTGT